ACTGCAAGGTTAGCAGTTCAAACTCACCAGCTTCACCTCAGAAACCCTATACAGGATTGCTATAAGTCTTAACTGACTCAACAGCACTTAACAACAACAAACTGTGTGAGAATAAATATATGTTTCTTAAACCCATCCACTTGTGGTATTTCTGTCATAGCAATACTAGATGGCTAAGACACTGAAATACATCTGGACCCCATAGTCACTAGACGTGAACTGGGTAAGTAGTACAGGGATTGGGCATTACTTTCCCTAAAAGAGATTCCCTGGGTAGTGCAAACTATCAATGTACTTGGCTGCAAACAGAAAAGTTAGAACTTTGAGTGTACCCAGATGTACCTTAGAAGAAAGCCCTGGTTGTCTTATTTCTGAAAAATCAGCCATTGAAAACTGTAGGGAACACAGTTGTACTTTGACACACATGGGGTAGACATGAGTCAGAGTTGACTAGACACCAACTGTTCTTGTTTTGTTTTTAAAACTATAAGAAGGGAGGGGAATCTGGACTAGACTAACCGACATTTGGGTTTTCCCTGAATCCTGGAGAATATGGGTACCCAGCATTTAGTGGATCAACGAGGTTCCCTTCTTCTCCATCCTGGATTGGGCGCAGGTCCAGGGTCAAATTACCGAAGGTTGTCAATAAGCATAAGTGTTGGAATAGTCCAAAAGGAAAGTCCAAAAGACTGATGGTAAAAAAAAAAAAAAAAAGTTTGCTTTCTCCCATTCCTCAAGCCCACCCCAGGATCTTTCCCTCCTGCATTGACATGGCTGAAGGAGGGGGATTGCACACATTGCAGACAGACAGTTTTTCTTCATCCTGTCTGACCTCCTAAAGGCAAGTGACTCTCAAGTTCTTTTTCCTCCCAAGGTCAGATACAGAAGACTGGCTACTTTACAAAGGGAAATCACATCAAAAGCAAGAGAGTGCAAGACCACAGGGATGGAAGTGGCTACAAGGAATTGTTTTTATTGGATGAAATCAAATTCAACCTCAAAGGGTTCAGCTGGCTATGGTGTAGAGCATTCCTCAGGTTCTGGGCGATTCATGCCACCAGTGCAAATGAATTCACACTGTGGGCCCAGACTGCATAATAGCCTTGGGTTGAGATGCTGGTCTGTGCTGCATTGATTCCCAAGGAAAAACAGAAAACTATCAATGACTACGGGTCTATTAGTATACACTTGGATTTTCAGTTGGGTTCTTACTTAATTTCCCCAACAAGAAAAACTGGCCACAATTTGTCTGGTATGAGGCCTTAGATTGCACTCTTTCTGTTCCCACTTTCATCCCCCCTAAGCTTCAAATAAGGAGCTCTGGTAGCGTAGTGGTTACAAATCGGGCTGCGAACCTTAAGGTCAGCGGTTCGAAACTACCAGCTGCTCCGTGGGAGAAAGATCAGGCTTTCTACTCCCGTAAAGATTTACACCCTCGGAAACCCTGTACAGCGTCGCTATGAGTCGGAACCGACTCGACGGCACTTAACAACAACAACAAGCTTCAAATAGATACCGAGGTGACTGAGAAGCACTCTAAGAAAAAGAAAAAAAAAATATTAACCATGGTCACAATTGGAGTGGAGAAATATTCAGACATGTCTAGAGGAACTGCGAGGCCAATGAAAATCTAGATTCAAGGTACAAGTGACAATATCCAGTGATGGAGAAAGAAAGTGTGGAAAACAGGAACCACAACATGTTGTTGAAGGATCCCTCGCAGCGCAGTGGTTAAGCAATCAGCTGCTAACCAAAAGCTGGGCAGTTCAAACCCACCAGCTGTTCTGTTGGGGAGAGATGGGGTGAACTGCACACATGAAGATTTCAGCTTAGAAAACCCTGCGGAACAATTCTACTCTGTCCTTGGCAGTCCTGGCAGAAGCAGCACACAGGGAAGTAGCAAACGAGTCAGAATTGACTTGATGGCACACAACAAGGTGCTGTTGATGGGTGTGTGATTGGCATATCATTTTTTGAGGCAATTTAGTGATATAATTTAAAATTTTAAGTGCAAACACATACTCTTTGACACAGATTTACGAATGTGAGAAGGCTTGTAGACAAGGATATTCATTGCAGCATTGTTTATAACTGTAGAATAATGAAAACACACAGGCCCATCCATAGAGAAGTGACTGAGTAAAATAAATATTCAGTGTCTATTAAAAAGAATGAGGTAGAGCTATACCAATATGGAAAGATGTACACGATACAGTAAATGAGAAAAACAAATTGCAGAAAAGTCTTTGTATTGGAATAGAAAATAGCTGGGAAGATACACAAGAAACTTTGAATAGTGGCTACCATTGTTGTTGTTAACTGCTGTCGAGTTGGTTCTGATCCATAGTGACCCTGTATAGGGTTTCCAAAGAATAGCTGATGAGCTTGAACCACTAACCTTGCAGTTCAAACCTACTTTGCAGTCCAGCATATGAACCCACAGCACCACAACAGGACTCCGTGGTTACCACGTTGTTATTAAGTGCCGTCAAGTCGGTTCCGACCCATAGCGACCCCGTATAGGAGAAACTGGTGATCTTGAACTACCAGTGTTGTGGTTCAGATTGACAACTGTCCAGCACATTAACCCACAATGCCACACCAGGACTTCTAGGAGACCTTTATTTTCTATTCTACCCTACTGCTTTGAATTTATTTTCATGACCATATATGATTTTGAAAATGTTTAAATATATATTAAAGAAGGAATAAGGGATCAATGAAAGCTACATTATCAAAAGGGCAGGAAGCAACATATCAGATTTATCATTAGAAGGCGTACTCAGTAATAAGACCTGAAGATAGGTAAGGCCTAGTAACTGATTTATGACTCAGTTCTTCCTTACCCATTCAACTTGGCAACATGAACTTGTTGCTCTCAATTCTTGAGCTCTAACTCCTTAAGACCCAAGCAATCTTGCTGGGAGGACTCAATAACATGGTAGAGGGGAGGAATGAAGCAGAGTGCTGTATGGAAAGCGCTGCTAGCCAGAGATATAGGCAGGGGGTTGCACCTTGTGATAGTAGCAGAAAGTCTGGCAGATCCCTAACCCATTGCCATCAAGTTGATTCTGACTCACAGCCACCCTGTATAGGGCTTCAGCTGTAAATCATTACAGTAGCAGAAAGCCTCCTTTTGCTTTCCCAGAGCGGCTGGTTGGGTTTGAACTGCTGACCTAGTGCTTAGCCTATAGTGCCATCAGGCCCCAGCTAATAGCAGGATGAATCACCAGCTTGGCTACCACCAAGTCTTGGAACAGTAGAAGTGATTACAGAGTCCATTACCCAGAGACAGAGGAAGGAGGCAACCATCAGGACTCAGTCAGGAATGCATCAGTATAAAATAAGCTTGGAGAATCCCAGAAATACTTCAGCAAAATCTATCAGAGACTGGATTATCTGAATATTTGAGAATTTTAAGTGAATGATATTCAGACTTAATTCATTCATCTAATATACTGAGGAGTCTTACTAGGTGTGAGGCACAATGCCAACACAGGGGATACCACGGTAAACAAAATAACATGGAATTTACTAAGGTAAAGTGAATGAAAAGAAAATTGCTCATAATCAACCTTTTTGGATCTACAAAATGGCAATTTCACATGGATCAGCAAAAACACATTCTAGCAAGTTGTTGTTGTTAAGTGCCTTCGAGTCGGTTCCGACCCATAGCGACCCTATACAGGGTTTCCGAGGCTGTAAATCTTTACAGGAGCAGAAAGCCTCATCTTCCTCCCGCGAAACGGCTGATAGTTTTGAACTGCTGGCCTTAAGGTTCGCAGCCCGATTCATACCCACTACGCTACCAGAGTTCCTTACAGTCTAGCAAGAGAGAAAGCAAAAAGCAACTCATTGGCCAATTCATTGCTTGATTCTTATTGTGAGCAGAGTTATCAGATCCGATCCAGCTGGCACTGGGGCAGTCAAGAAAGGCTTCCCTATAAAGAGTTACTTTTGAGAAAGTGAGAATGAGGAGAAATTAATTCAGTGAAAGAAAGAAGGGGGACGACTGAATAGTTTTCATCTTGTCTAGACAGGTCTGGTGAAAGGAGATGAGGATAAGATTCTTATGATTCAATAGTGAGTAATTGTTATCATGACTAATTGAGACTGTCACAACTGTAAAGGTAGACGTTTTGTAACAAAAACGGGGGAGTAGTTAATCTTACAGTCCAGAAACAAAGGACCCTAGGACCATCAAGGGAAAAGAGCACAAGCGGAATGTGGAACCCTATCCAGAGAAGGAGTGACACCAGAGATGGAGGCAGAGATGAGGACATGGAGAGACAGAGCAGCTGAGGACCCTAGACTCATGGAAAGAGAAAGGCTGTGTGCTGGTGGCCAGGAGACAGGCTTACAGAATGTGCCCTTTGGTTGTTTAAATGATTATATATTCCTGAGTGTTTTTGTGTACATCTCCCCTACAAAACAAAAACAGAGGGAATAGAAGCAAATACTGTTGAATGATGATGCACGGAGGAGATTGTAATCATTGCAATGAAGTGTAAGTGTAAAACCGATGTTCTCCCATGTAAACCATCACTCAACTCACAATAAAAACTTGAAAAAAAAAGAAAGAAAGGGGAGAGGGATCGTTCTCTGTAAAATCAAGGTGCAGAGGACCTGAAGGGTAAAGAAACTGGTATGTTGCAAGGACTGAGAAGAAAGGCTAACTGGCCCTGGAGAAAGGATGAGGCTGGAAAGCAGGTAGGAGCAAGATCAGGGAGGGCCTTGTAGGTCAATGCTAAGGACTTTGGTAACCAAAGTTTGGTTCTTATTCCAAGAGGTTATTTGTATCCAAAAGTTGGCAAGGACCAGGTAACATTCAGATTCCAAAGAATGTTCTTATCCCTTTTTAAAGACGAGCCCTGTGGTCCACAGCTATACTACTAATCAGTGGTTGCATCTGGATGAGAACCCAGATTCTTTCAAAAATCTTTCTCCACCCCTTGCCTGCTGCAAGGTAGCAGCAGGGTGTGGAGAGGTCAAGGTCCTCTCTAAGTGGAGACAAAGGAAGCCCCTTGCGTGCCGCAGTGTCCCAGTCCCGGGCGGCAGCTCAGTGCCCAACAATCCTGGCGGAAGCGGCGCACAGAGAAGCAGTAAATGAGCGGGTCCAGGCAGCTGTTGAGACTCAGCAACGCCAGGCTGAGGGTGTGCAGAACGTCGAGTGTGGAGGCTGCGCGACACCCGCCACCGTCGTCGCCCACAGCACTCTCCTGCCCGGCTATCCAGGGTGCCAGCAGCAGGTGGTAGGGCGCCAGGCAAAGAGCGAAGACGAGTAGGAGTCCCAAGACCATGGTCCTGGCCGCACGCCTGTGTGGGCCTGCAGGAGCTGGTCCAGGGCCAGAGGGCGTCGCGAGTGCCCGCACTAGGCTCACATAGGCCGCGAGCACCAGCAGGAAGGCGGCCGCGAAGAAGGCCACCGTGGCGTAGGCCAGGCCAGAGCGCGCCCAGCCATGCTCAAGGCAGCGAGCTGAGCCGCCTGGTCCGGGGAGCAGCGCGTGCGGCGCGGCTACTGAGGGTGCCGCGCAGGCCAAGCCAGCCAGCCAGGCGGTGGCGCAGGCGGCACGGGCGGGTCCCCGGCGGCGCAGCGCTAGGCGACCCGCAGCGCTCGGCCCTGGCCCACGCACAGAGCCGCAGCGGCACACGCTGATGAGCACTGCAAAGGCCACGGCCGCGTAGGTGGACACATAATAGGCAGCTCCGGCCGCACGGCAGGCGGCCTCCGGAAAGGGCCAGTGGGCCAGGCCCAGGTAGTAGGTGAGCCACAGTGGCAGTGTGAGCGTGAAGAGCACGTCCGCCAAGGCCAGGTTGAGCAGGTAGAGACGCAGGGCCTGACCTAGGCGGCCACTGCTGCGGACGAACACTGTCAGGGCGGCCACGTTGGCGGGCAGCCCCAGGCCCAGGGCCAAGGCGTAGGCTACCGGCACCACGATGAAACGAGCAGGGTCATCCCAGGGGCTGCAGGCGTCAGTACCCAGATCCCCAACGCTGTTGTTCATACTTGACCTTGACCTGGGGAGAAGAGAGGCCACTGTAGAGTACCACTATTGCATATCCCCACCCCTGGCCTCTCTTCTTCAGCCCTTGCTTAAAGGCAAGGAAGTCCATGTGGGAGGGGATGAAGACAGAACCAGGCCAGCAGCTGCCTAGATGAAGAGGAGGGAATGAACATGAGAGCTATTTGAAGTAGAATGGGCCTGGTGACAACCTGTCAGAAATGAGGAACAGGCAGACGTCCGGATAGCTTGGCAATTTCCGACCTCAGTGATTGGGAGAGTGGGTTGTCCCTCAGAGATGGAATATAGTTCAGATGTGTAAAGTTACAGATGTGTATGCAGTGAGTCCAAGCAGGGCTGACTTGACCAGGCTGAAATATAAAGAAAGAAATAATCCCAAAAAAGCCCAACCCTCCCAGCCACCTACACCTCCCTCCCTATGCCACCCAGATCAGTATGTGTATGTGTGTGTTTCGGGATTGGGGAGAGGATGGATGGAGGAGTAGACTTGTGATTCAGCGACCCAGAGGGACAGGACCATGCACAGTGATCTTGTACCTGCCTTGATGAAGGTCTTCTCCCCCTGTGATGCTCCAAGGCTTGTCTGGAGTTCCCGCCACACAGCTGAAAAGGTTTCAAAACTCCTAGGCCTTCCAGTCTGTTTCCTTTCTCCTCACCTTTTGGCTACAAAGAAGTTCTGAATCTGAAAACTTGGACAGCAAAGCCAAAAGAACACAAACCTGAGAATCTGGAGACTCTAGAAACACACATTTATTTACCATATGAGCTTAAGTAAATTATTCAGTTTCAGTAAGCCTGTCTTCTCTGCTGTAAGATGGAGATTAAAATACCTACCTCAAATGCAGTCCTGTCTTCTCTGCTGTAAAATGGAAATTAAAATACCTACCTCAAATGGAGTCCTGGTGTGGTACTGCAGGTTAATGCACTGGACTGCAATGTCAGTTTGAACCACAAGTCAGCAGTTCAAGCTCATCAGCCACTCCTCAGAAGCCCTATACAGGACTGCTATGAGTGGGAAATGACTCTACAGCACTTAACAACAACAACAACCTCAAATGTAAATTGACTAAATGTCCCAATCGAAAGTCAGAGAGTGGCAGAATGAAGTTTTTAAAATAAAAAAAGTAATCCATCTATCTATGTTGCTTACAAGAGACATACCTTAAACCCAGGGACACAAATATTTCTTGCAGAGACTTGTAGAAAGATGACTAGACAGACGCAATACAAAGAGAGACCAAATGAAATCGACACAGATGAAAATCCTAGAATCCTGAACTTCAGAGGAAAGGTTAGAGAAGTGGATTGAGTGCTTGCTGGGAGGAGAAGCTGGGCAAGGACAGTGAGAGAGGGAGACTGCCTGGTGAACTGCAGGTCAGAGGTGGTACAGACATCTTGAGTTTTTGTGAGCACTTTTGACAACAGAAGTTGGCCTGGCAGAGCAGATTCAAACAGGCAATGGGAAAGGAGATAGCAACCGTGCCTATATATGCCTGCTACAACCTTATCGTCTGTAGCTCCACCCACTGAAGAACAATCAATACCATCTCCTATACCACCTGATCCATGATAGACAACACTGTAAACTGATGTGCATGAACGACTAATGGAAAATGATGCACACGCTTCCATTCTGTAACTGCACCCACAGGAGACAATTGGTGAAGGCTTAAGAACACATCAACATACAATCTTCAATTAAATATAAATTCAACACCACAATGCCCTAAAGACAACAGACAACTTTAGCTCACAAGAAGAAACAAAAAAGAATGGCTCAAACAAATGACCAAGATGCAGAGACAGAAAACATTTCTGAGAAAGAAAAGGTAATGGAACTAACTGGAAAAACAATGATATTTAGGTACCTTTAAAGAATTGATAGAAAAATTAAGGAAAACACAGAAAAAAACTTAAGAAGAATTCAGGGAAACACTACAAGAAAAAAAAAAATAGACAAAATAAATGCAAATTTTGAAACAATGCAGAACTTGCCATTAGAAATCCAAAATATTAATACTAGTATTTCAGAAATGGAATATACATTCAAAGGGCAAAGGAATAGATTTGAAGTGATGGAAACCTGAAGAAGTGAGCTTGAAGATAAATTTCTCAATACTAGAATACTAGAAGAATAACCAGAAAAAAAGATTTTTTAAATCCAAAGAAAGCCTGAGAGTTATGTGTGACACCATGAAGAGGAATAACTTATAGGTGATTGGAATTCCTGAACAGGAAGAGATGATAAAAAACACAGAGAAAATTGTCAAAGAGTTGGAAGAAAACTTCCCTAACATCATGAAAGTCAAGAAGATAACCATTTAAGAAGCTGAACAAACCCTAAACAGGATAGATCCAAAAAGAAAACCACTAATCACACTTTCCAAAACCAAAGACAAGGAAAGAATCCTGAGAGTAATTTGGGAAAAATTTAAAGTTACCTACAAAGAAGAACCAATAAAAAAAAAAAAAAAAAAACAAAATCCAAACCCCGAATTCCCAACAAAAAACAAGGAAGCAAAAAACAAAGGGAAGAAAAAAAAAAAACTCTGAAAGAAAAAATTGCCAACCAAGAATCATATATCCAGCAAAGCTGTCCCTCAAATACCATGGTGAAATTAGGATATTTCCAGATAAAAAATTAATTTATTTTTATCTGGAAATATCCTAATAAGGAATTCGTAGTAACCAGACCAACTTTACAAAAATTCTTTGGACTGAGAATCAAGAACATCAGACAACAATCTGAGATTAACATATATGACACCATCACCCAGAACAGAATCCAGATATGGAAGTATTTATAGTAAAACAAATCTCCAAGACTGAAAAAAAGGAACCAGAGATATCAATGTATAATGAAGTCAACTACAAAACAAAAACAGGGAATACTGTAGATACAGAACTTCCAAATGGCAAAGATGTCAAGTAGATTTCAAGATAAAACTGTATGTTCTAAAAGGGGGAAAATAAGTTACAAAAAATTAATATACCTCACATCAACATGAAAAAGAGAAAAATCAGAAAGATTCAGTAAACACTAACAGAAATCAAAATTAAAATTAAACTTACAAACAAAATGAGCTCAGTGCAGAAAATTTAATGGAACAAAGAAACCAGCAGCACCACACAAAAACACACACACACACACACAGAAAAATGACAGCAATCAACTCATGCTTAAACATAATTACACTGAATGTAAATGGATTAAATGCACCAGTCAAGAAGCAGAGAGTAACAGAATGGATAAGAAAAACAGGACCCTTCAATATGTTGTCTATATGAGACACATCAAAAAGATGGATGGAGACAGCCTAAATACCTCTCAACAGAAGAATGGTTAAGCAAACTTTAGTATATACACACAATGGAATACAGCACAATGTTGAAGAATAGTGATGAATCTGCAAAGCACCTTACAACATGGATGAACCTGAAGGAAATTATGCTGAGTGCAAGTAGCCAATCACAAAAGGACAAATATTATATGAGACCACTGTTGTGAAAACGAAAGGTTTTGTTGATAAAAGAAACCTTCTATATGGTTACCAGGTTGGGAGGGAGGCAAAATTATTCATGGGCTAAAAGATATTCACATGTTAATATGGTGATGGAGCAGTAAATGTAGAGGGAAATTGGTAGAGAAAAGATGAAGGTAGCAGCAGACACTAGGAGGAATGCAATAGTTAAAGTGAATAAAGGTAAATGTTCTTAACTGTTAGTACATGGAGGGGATTGCAATCATTATATTGAAGCAAAGTATATGATCTGTTGAATGTAAAACTAGATGATCTGCTCTGTAAACCTTTACTCAATTCACAATAAAAAGTTTTAAAAAATATATTTCCATGCAAATAATAACCAAAGGAGAACTGGGGTGACAATATCAGACAAAGTAGACTTTAAGACAAAATCTGTGAGGAGAGATAAAGATAAGCATAATATAGTAATAAAATAGTCAATTAATTAAGAAGATTTAGCAAGCATAAATATATTCGTACCCAACATCAGGGCACCTAAACCTATAAACCACACACCAATAGAATTGGAGAAATATATAGTACTACAATAGTAGCTGGGGACTTCAATACACCATTTTCAATATTGGATAGAACATCTGGAAGAGAAGATTAACAAGGAAATAGAAGACATGATGACACCATAAACCAATTAAACATACATACAATGTTGTTAAGTATCAATGAGTTGGTTCTGACTCATAGTGGCCCTGTATAGAGTTTCCAAGGAGTGACTGGTGGGTTTGAACCACCAACCTTGTTGTTAGCAGTCCAGTGCCTACCCTACAGCTCCATGCCAGACTCCATATATAGAATACTCCACCCCAAAACAGTATAAATACACATTCTACTTCAGTGCACTCAGATCATTTTGTGTAGAACACATTTCAAGTCACAAAGTCTTGATACATTTTTAAAGATTGAAATTATAAAAGTATTTGTCTCTGACTATAAAGGAGCTCTGGTAGCGTAGTGGTTACGAATGGGGCTGAGAACCTTAAGGTCAGCAGTTCGAAACTACCAGCTGTTCCGCAGGAGAAAGAAGAGGCTTTCTGCTCCCGTAAGGATTTACAGCCTCAAAAACCCTGTACAGGTTCACTATGAGTCGGAACCGACTCCATGGCACATAACCACCACCACTACCATAATGGAGTGAAGCTAGAAATGAATACCAGAAAAGAAAAAAACTAGGAAATACACATAAGGAAATTTAACAACACACTATTAAAATACTAATGGGGAAAGGAAGAAATTAAAAGGAAGGTCATAAATTTCTTAGGGTCTCTGGATAGTGCAAACAAAACGTCAATGTACTTAACTGCTAACCAAAACATTGGGGATGCAAGTCCACCCAGAGGCACCTCAAGAGAAAAGCCTGGTAATCTACTTCTAAAATATCAGCCACTGAAAATCCTATAAAGCCAGTGTAATAAGACAAGAAGAAGAAATAACAGGTACCCA